TCTGTTGTAATCACATTCTGAGCCAGACTGTGTACTTTGTATATGTGTTATGAACATTACACTTTTATAACTTTTATATGGGACAATAATTTCTAATCATAGATGATGTATCAATTTGACTCATTACATCGTGGGCGGCCAAGTATGTCGGAGTAATTTCTGAATCATTTATCTGGGAAGCATTGTAATTGAAACATGCAATATTTGTTAATCGCTTTATTCATTACGTTTTATGCAAGTTCAATAATACTGTATTCTGACTTATACATTGTTGCAAAATACGGATTCTGAAGTGAGACGACGACATGAATGCAAACGTGGTAGAAACCACCGCAGTGTGTTCTTTTGTTTCAATTTTTATATTCATCCAATTAGAAGTTTTCCTACTAATTTTCTTACACGGTCAAGAGTTTATTGATGTATATCAAGGGCATACTGCCAATTCTGTATCATTCTTACAATTTGTGTTATATCGTTGATATCGAGTTGTAAGTCTCCGGATTGCCAGCGGGTTTTCCGTTAGTGAATAAATTCTGAGTTTTACATTTAAGTCATTCTTCTGTGGTGATTGGTGCTGATTGTGTAGCAGATAATTTTGCATACTATATTTCTTTACATTTCCATATCCGCAACGTATCGTCCCCCACATTTATTACAGTGGTTTAAATTTGTTTTAATTATAACTGTAGCTTGGATAGGCATTTGAAGTATTTGCAATTTAACACCATGGAGGCCATTCATGGAGGGGAATAGAACGAACATATTTAACATCCGGGTACTTTTCAAAGCTTTTAGTATCTGATTGCATTCGTATACGCCATTGTACATAGCCGTTCATGCTGCCAAGCATTGTGTACTACTAGTATAAACTCAATTTTTATATGCACAATGTGCTTTTTAGAACTTGGGTTAGAGCATTATGCGTTTGAACCACAGTATTCTGAGAGTGGAAGCCCAATTGCATTAAAGTACCGTACTTCCCCGATCGTAAGCCCCTCCCGAGTATGAAGCCCATCCCTCTATTTTTACTAGCTATTTATCGAGTTGAGGGCATTCACGATTATAAGCCCAAAGTGTTTTTACTGTGATTGTGATTGGCGCGGTAGTTTGGTTCGTGCTTTTATGAGAAAACTCGCATTAATTTCAGAGTGCATGGCTAACGTACACAACGTTCGCATCCTTTCTATTCTGTCATTTAATACTCAGGATGAACCCGGAAGTTGCAATACTGGAGTAATCCATATTTCTTTGGGCAGTAGCTTTTGAAAAGACAAAAATGTGATCGTTAAGTCGCGTACCTGATTATAGGGCATGGTTTACTTTGAAACTATCATGAAAGGCCGAGGGTTTGAACGATGAGACATGTTGGCGACCGAGAAAGGTGTTTAAATTCTTCCTCCACACTCAGTTTACCCACGGTTACTTAAGTTTTGAGGGGAAAAAATCATCGTTTTTTTCGTTGCAATCAGTGCTTCAGATCACATTTTAACATTGCGGTAATTCACTTCTGCATTGCGTTAAAACATCATTGTCAATAATCATTTTGATTGGTTAATGAAAGACATGACCTGTAAGGTCAAAGGAGGTTTTTCAGGTCAAATCGTGCTGAAAAACCTCATGGTGGAAAATTGCTTTGCGTAGAGTTTGCATACGATCAAAAACATACCAAAACGAAGATTATGATAAATGCCTTTGACTGTTTCCCCACAGACCCCACCCATACCCAGACGGTATTGTAATTCGTATTGTAATAAAATGTGTGGGTTTTTATGAACATGTTTGTTTCTTCATTATAAGTGTCGTGGAAATCAATGACGCATTTTTTTTTCGAAAATAAGTATTATTTTCCCGAGCCCGGCGTGGTGAACGAACAATTTTTTTGGATAATTTTTCATTGTTGGCAAGATGGTTACAGTGTTTAAACCCAAAACAAAATCATCTTTTCTGAGTTGGTCCTCGAGTAAAAGCTCGTTGGTATACTGTGAAGATTCATTTCAGTCAAGTGTGAGTGATGAGAGTATATCGTCGACGATGCCCCTTGTTCGGATGATAGTTTTATTTCACGAAAATGTTTCCACCACCAACCTACGAACTCAAGATTGCATACTCCAGCATCCAGACTTTGAAATAATTTGCACACACAGTGCAGTACTGGAAATAGCATTTATTAGACAGTTGGACAAGAAAAATGCCTGTCTCGATCAATCGCACATCCATAATGTTTGTATGTTGATATGCTTGTAAATAACATTAACGTAAAAGTCTGAAAAATCAGAAACTAAACATTTCATTGCACATGAACGGGGAATTTTCTGAAATCTTTTACGTTTTACGTACATGTGTCTTAATATATTTAATAGTATACCACACACCTAGACTAGAAGTCTTAGGCTCCCTAAGTTGTTTATATTTAATCAGATATTTCGTCATCATGCTTTGTTACCTTTCCTGTTTATACCTCATGAGGGCGTTTTTTTATGGCAAGATGGCGCAAACGGAAGTCCTTTGCAGGTTTATGGTTTCTCATAATTAAATCATCATAACTCTGAAGATAATCATTTTTTTTTATTATTTTTTTCAAATTTATAATCAATATACATAACTTGATAAATACAAACACCAAATTAGGCTCTATTTAGTTCCCCTTTAACATTATAATATTTTCTCTATCTTTATTATTTCATTATTATTATTATACTTTGTTATACTTTTATTGCTACTGTACTGATAGAAATACTGTATTTCTAAAGATGCAATAAATATTATTATTATTATTACCATCTTGACATTACTTTCAGGGGAAAAGTGTAAGAGAGGTGGAGTCGGGAACAGAAATTATAATATTTATACTGTGCACGCTATTGGTACTTTAATTGTCCCAATTGTATCTGTCTGCTTTAGCACAGTATTTTACTCAATGACGTCAATGTCTTTTTTGTTTGGATACAGATAAAACTCGACATCTTAAGTAACTTCTTCAGTTTGAATATAATTAAAAAAAATATTTATAATTTCAACAAATATTAATGAAATTTGTTTACATGCACTATAGGAAAAGATTTTTTGCAATCAAAATCACCCCCACCCCCACCTTTCTGGATTTATACTACAATAACTCACCTTTGGTTTCGGATGAATAGTGAAACTAAGAATGGCATGATAAGAGTGCAAAGTAGATGGTTCAGCCCAGATGACTGGTTCTTGTACACGCAAGAGGTTTGCCAGACATGATAGCGTAGATCTGAGTAACGGGGTCAGCATCGTGTTGATATGCTGAGATAAAATATCGAATAATGCTTTGCTGACCACAGCAAAACGGCTTTTGAGAACGGATGGCGAAACTCTGAAATTGTGACAAAATGGATTATTGAGGTTCATGAATGTGAATTTCGAGACATTGATGATGTTTTCCTAAATGCAACATACTAACAAGCAGAAAAATCATTTGTCTATAAAATAAAGCAGGAATTCTGTGACAAACAAAACAAAATTATCAGAAAAGTACTGATATGCAAATTAGCTAATCAGTATGCATACATTTTTTCAAAAGTAATGTTGATAAATGTGCAAATTATCTAATCAGTATGCACACTGTCAGGTAAGAAGGTCGTGATAAATTGATAATTGATGGATACCTTTTTATCACTAAGTTAAGTAAATAGACAACGGCAGCTTTCGAATCTTCAGTATCAACAGAATCTAGAGTTGTTATCTAGAGTTGAGAAAAAATGAATTATTGATTTATTTATTTACAAATGTTTTACCAACACAAACATAAAATAATACATTTGCCTCAAAAAGGTTTTATGAACTGTATGTCTTGAAAAGGAGGATGCACCAGGTCGGGATACGCAAGGCATTCTTCTTAGTTAAATTTAAAAAAAAAAATTATATACTCGCTATACTATAATCTGTTCAAAAAACAAACGTTCTTGAACTTACGAGAGCTGCAAAATATTCTGTTTCTGTTTCTTGTCCACCTTGTGATCTGATGACCTCTGTAACAGCAGCTAACACAGCACATATCTATTTAGAAAGCAATGTATTAAGGGACGACGTCAAAAGATCGATATCGGATAAAAAACTTAATTCCTTTAGTTTTTTTCCAAACCAAAAATATTGGTCATGGCGTCAGACTACATTCACTATTAAATACAAATTGATAATCGGACAGTAGTATTGCATAGCAGTTGGTTGTCGGGTGGGTGTAAAAAGACTTACACTCGAACCAAACCATTTTTCTGTTGTTTTTTTCCTTTTTTCTGTTATTTCTGTCCATGATTGGATAGAAACAAAACGAACTACAAATACTCCAAGATTTTTTGACTTCATTAAAAAATAAAATCGTTTTTGTAGGATGGAAACTTTTTGTGGTCAAAACCCCCCACCCCCAAACTAAAGGAAATAAGTTTTTTATCCGACATTGATCTTTTGACATCGTCCCTAACTATGAACCAATAGAAAAACATCTACAGCCCCTGTGGGGTCTGGTTTTAAGAAAGTATTCAATTATAACAAAATACCATCATGATTGGCCATTACAGGATTCACAATAAGGATTTGATTTTACAAATTTGTAACGAACATGAAGAAGAGCTGAAAATGTGTTATGTTTTTAGCGAGAGGCAGACATATAATCAGATTCTTATTTTTATTTCTATGTTACTGCATGCACACATTTTGCTGAAAGTCTCATAAATACATATATGTTGCATTATACTCAATAAATTACTACTGAAAATAATATTGTTATTAGCATAAGAACATATTTATCCACAAAAGATTGAAATAAATGATACTTTTATAGCAAAATGGCATTGTTCACCTCAAGCTAGGGCTAACTGATTAAATACATACCTCTTTATGACTTGCGGAATTGTTATCCCACAATTGTTTAACTTTGTCAAATGTTGGGTTCGTGCAGTCACTTAATCCACTCATGAAGCTTCGATAACTTCCCACGCTGACCGTCTCGTGGTCGCCATCTTGGATGATTGCATCTCCATCACTGTCTAAGAGACTCTGATTATGGTGCTGTAGCGCCCTCTCTGTCAAACCACTCTCACCTGAAATAAAGATGCATCAGTTATGAACAATACACTACTAGAAAAGTATAAATTTGAAAGTAATAATAAAAATAATTATTATACATTTACTACTATAACTTATTGAGTTGCAGAATACAGTGTCAGCGTCCAGTAACTATGCAAATAAAGACATGAAGTCTTTCTTCCCAAAGTCTGTTTAAAAAAATAATTTTTTTAATAATAATATTATTAATAATATGGTTATAAAAAAATATTGGAATTTATGATCAAATACATTGTAAGTTTCAGCATTGTTCTTGATGCGTAATATTATGTACATTGGTTTTAATTTGGGTCAAAAGCGGACAATGTACTTTGAAGATTGCCACATATGGAAGATGTAACTTTATTAAATATCACTTATTAACTTGTGATAGTGGAATTGGATAATTTATGGAGACTCTCAATGATTGAATATCTTGAAAGTCATTACGCCCCCTTTTTTTCGCTGCTACAAAATTACGTAATTCAGCTCGTCAGAGAAATTTATTCTCGCTAATTTACAATATTTGTTTGTATATGTAAGTGCATTAAAAGTGCGGCTCAACAATCACCGGGATTGCACCAGAACATCCCAGGAATTTTGAATGGCCCATTCAATATTTACTACTGTATTTATCCGGGTATAAGCCCAGGGTCCTGAACATGGAAAATCGCCAAAAAGAAGGGGTGGGCATTTGTCCGGATATCCCCGGCAAAAAAAAAGAAAAATCGCGGAAAATTGGCAACACGCAGATCCAACTGTGACAGGGAGAAAAACGGCAAATAAAAACATCCAACAAAAATAAATGAACATTATGCAGCATAAGAAGTGTAACAAGAAATAATTTATTGCTTAGAATGTGACAAATATTAAAACCAGAAATAATAAAAATCGACAGTGAAGATTCATTTGAATTAGAATATCCCCGTCGACAAACACTCCGCCCCATATGCGTGAATTATTTCCGGTTTCTACAATTACCGAATCAACAGCCATACAAGATCAATAATAATTTACGCAGTAAAATTACGAAAGTTCATAGTTCTAAGATCTCTATTTGTACGTTCATTGCTATCTTAGTAAAAGTCAAAACCCTGAAATTCCAAGTCGGCGCCACTGTCGAGATCGAACTAAAATCCCTATAGTTTTGTCTTGAAGTTTGTTGATGTCGTCCCACATAATTTGGGCTTAGCACGGAGGGATTTCGCTGTCTGGTAGCTTGGCACTTTTAATTCACGTCTAATCAGAATAAAGAGACAAGAAAAATGGGGTCGCGGCAAACGACTCGCACGATGCTTTTGTTTACCGTCTGGCAAACATCTTTGACCTTTAAGCATCCGCTTTACTGATTGGCTAAGAATGACATCACTACTAGTGTTTCGTTATGGAGGTAAATTCAACATTGCTTTTTTATCAGACTAGGCGTTCGTTCATCAATCATGGTGAAAGTTACCATTCAGCAAGTTATATGGATATCGCGGTGGGCTTGAAATAGGAAGATTTTTTTTCCAACGACAGAAGAATAATTTCCATGAAATGCAATAGCAGTGGTGAAAGATGGTAAAAAAGTTGGCAGTCTTCGGCGTGACATTGCAAAATTGCTGGCCCCAGTTATGGATTCGCAAATATTTTATAAAGCCAAAACAACGTGCTTTAAACCACTCTCCCAGTTACGGGTTGCTACAATATTGCAACATTGGTTTCATTGTCGGCGACGCTAACTATGTAAACAGTGGTGAACGCGCTGTTTTACGCAATTGACATTCATTTTTCAAATTTTGTTATCAGAATCAAAACAAACTACAAGGAAGTAAACTGTTAATACAACGAACAAAAATAGGTTTTTGTTTTTTTATTTTATTACAGGTGTAGAAAAAACACCCCTGGGCGTTTGCTAGGATATGACCTCAACTCCTTTATTTTATCAAAAGTGGGGGGTGGGCGTTTGTCCGGGCATGGGCTCTTAGCCGGATAAATACGGTATGTATGCCAGATGTGTTAATCTTTTGTGCTAACGTCTTACGTACATTATTGTCTGTCTTCAGAGAAAGTATTAGTTGTGTGGATATTTGGCTTGACTAGTCACATAATCTTTGTTATGATTTTTCATATGTATTTCTCATCAGTAAACTAGATATGATTTGTGTCAGCCATTCTTGTGAACTTGAATCGTATACCGTAAGAGAAAAAAAATATCTCTGTTTCTCGTTTCCACGCGCATCATTTTGAAACTATGCCTTGCCGCCTCATTTTAAAATTTCCATGAAACGAGAAACAGAGAATTTTTTTTTCCTGCCATAATTGTTTCTTGAGCATTTTTAATCGTATCAAAGATAATTTTATTACCAGTCAATCTGAGTGTCTATCGGGATTTTTAGAGACATTCGTAAAATCCTTCTGTAGTACATCATCGTACACTGCATGATGCTGAAATGCTAATAGTAACACCTTTTTTGGATGAATTTTCCACCATATTAATTATGCTTTACGTTCAAAACATTATTAGTCTTGTTTGAACCATGATCAGTATCATCATTAATTGTGTGTATTTTTAACCTAGTGTATTGTGATCTGAACTGATTTACAATGAACAGTCTGCAGCTTGTCTGCCAATATTATATTTTATTAATATTAATTTTAGAGTGACATTCTGGTCATTCGGATGAACAATATTTCTTAGGAATGCAGTAAGTTGAACTCGCCGGAGTAACCATCATCGTTTTCAAATTGTTTGTATACAAACTATCGCTACAACGATTGATGATTATGATCTTGATATCAGAAGTATTTAATATTGAATGCATGAAAGCAGTATACAGGTTTTATTGCGCTGAAACGATCATGACTTCCCTAATTTGGCGACTGCGACTGGATTTCTAAACTTTGTATACAAACCATCACCACAACGATTGATGATTATGATCTTGATATCAGAAGTATTTAATATTGAATGCATGAAAGCAGTATACAGGTTTTATTGCGCTGAAACGATCATGACTTCCCTAACTTGGCGACTGCGACTGGATTTCTAAACTTCGATAGAGGGCGTCAACATTATGACGCAACCCTCTAGTGCCAACGGACGGGAAAGCGTTATATGTGATCGATTTTCTCTGATTCGATGAAAAAAAAAAACGTATGCGGTGGTAGTAAATCACTGTGTTCCTAGATAGAGGCGTCATACCGTATAACTCGGGGTGAATATTGTCGTTTGTCATTACCTGTTCTCTGGTGAAAGAAACCACTTCTTGCTACTTGTCTGTGACTCCTCGTCACCGGATTGGTGCTACTGCTCTGTCCTTTCTTCCATCGTTTACCTTTACCGCCCTTTACCCGGCCTGGGCCACGAACCATGGCTTCTTGTTGGTGATTTCTCGTACAACCGGTCTTTAATTTACACCAGCAGACATATTGCCTAATCCTCGGAACATGTGGAAAGAATAAAATCAAGTACTTAGGGGGTACCGGTACCTTTAACCATGGCTTGTTAAGAATGAGCTACTCAAAATAATATTCTATCCACACCATTTTTCCTCGCTGTATACATATGATATAGTTTAATTTTGTTTTGTTTTCAAAAATTATACTTTTTCCAATAAATATATTTTCAATACCAAAATATTTGATTGCATTTACACAACTTTAGATTGTTCTTTAAAA